AGAACAAATGACGTTGCTGAAGACGTGCCACCTGAAGAAGCCACCATTGAAGAAGAAACTCTACTCAGTTTTGAGAAGGGAAACGATGAAGCTCTTGATGAAGTTACTACCACTGATGTGACTGTTACCGATGATAGGGTATTTACTGATGCAGCAGATGAACCCCACATGAAGCAGAAGCCAATGAGACGGAGACCAGTACAGAAGAAGATACGTCCCGTAAAATTAAGAGACTTTATTGAATTGTAATTTTGTTATTGTAATTCTGTAAATTTAATTAAGTTATTGTTAATTGTTATTGGTTTGTTGTATGTGGTTATTGTTCGGGACGAACAGTACTAAGGAGGGGCAGTGTTGTGTCAGCGAGGTCACGTGACTATTGTCACGCCACTTCTTTCTCGAACCTTCGGGAGATTACTAGATATAGGGTAGTCTGGTATATATAAGAGGGTGACAACGTGACGGGACAATGTGTGTAGGAAGTGAGTAATTGATCTGCACTGAGAAAGTATTGTTGAAGTTAACGTTCGTTATAGCGTTTGTTTTAGCGCGAATGTTGAAACAAGTGTATCGTGAAGTTATATTCAGAAAGAATAAACCAGTTTTATTAAGTAAGGACTTGTGTCGCTAAAGTTTCGTCGGAACGAAGTTACGGAAAGTTAATTAACAAACGGAGACGTAACACTATGTTTACCTTTGTTTGCTAGAATATTCAGGAAATTGTGTAATTATGAAACCGACTCAGGACAAGGAATCGTTTTTATCTCGTTTTGACGGAGTTATTAAGTCATTTTTACACTCAAAATGAATATATTACTGAGGAAGAAATCAAATCCAGTAGAATTTAATTTGTTTCTATTCGTTGGGAGTGCATCTGAAATGCATGCTATTTTTCTACAAAAAAGATTTGATTGTCAGCGTACCAATCCCCCTATGCCAGATAAGTAAAGCTGCATTAACTTTTATTATGAACAAAAATCAGGCGGGAGTTCTGATGGTTTAAGACTAGAGCTGCATTTGTGGAGATACAAAGGTCAAACCGTGATTTGTTTCTGAATACACTCGGTACTATCAGCTGTGGGAGCGTTATAACTGAGGTAGTTAATCCTGCTATTCAGTTAAAAGAAGTTCTGTAGGCGGAGGGTGCTGCTGACTGATTGCCCTCCATATGTTCAGCAGATCTAAATGATAGATGGCTATGTTTAAACCTTGGAGGTGATCTTTCAGCACATAAGTGGCACACAGGTTGAAAATGACAATTCATATCTTCTAATTCTAAAATATGTTTAGTAGAATTGAACACAAGCAACATGTTTCTCTTCATAAGATTAAAGAAAGAGTTGCGTTTTATATTGTTACGACATCAGAAGTCAAGTGATGCTGGTAACATGTGATAAGTTTCTGGAAGGATCATGAAGGCTCGAGTGTTTGCCAGACGCCCTCTATTTTAATATATTAGCCCGAAAAATAAAGCGGAGATATAATTGCAGGTAGAGAGATAATTGAGTCAAGTGAGTAAAGTGCGTGAATCGTTGTGAATTATAGCGTATGTTTAAATGAAAGTGGCTGTGGAAATTTTGTGTATTGCAAAGTTGTACTGAGAAAGAATAAACTAGTTTTATTTAAGAAAGAACTTGTATCGCTGAAGTTCCTCGGGAAGAATTTATACCGGAAATTAACAAACGACCAGAGACGTAACAATATTATTAGACTGTAAGATTCAAATACGCGTTAGGATTGATGGGTTTATGATGATTTATGGTGTATAATATATCTTCCCTCAGTTTAATTATCTCCAGGAGCGTCAAAACCGGGGGTGCTGGGAGTGCTGTGTCACTTCCACTTTTACATATTTGACTTATATAGCAACTGTAAATTATAATCTAATACTAATTTTCTTGGGGCATGCCTTCAGATCCCCTTAGCTTGAGCTGCTAAAAGCAGCTCCTTATACTTTCAATCTCTCATTGTAAAAACTTCATGTCTAGCTAATCACCGCTACTTTGCAACTTCTTCCTACACCACCCTTTCCCAAGAGAAGGAAGCGTAGATGGGGCTTGGATGACGAATCTAAGAAAAACTTCTAATAATGAAGAATAAATATTGGTTCGTTTCCTGATACTGCTTTAAAAAAAAGTGAAAAATTCGCACTCCATATTTTCGGAGTGGTTGATTAATGACCCCCGGTGACTCAGCGATAATTCTCAAAGCTTATGACACTACAAAACAAGTTTCGATACCTGTGATGAATAGAGCACATAGTCTATTGATAGTATTGTGTAGCTTTGGGCTTAATGGCGGACTAACAAACATATGATTAATATTGGCTGGAGACGGCTTAAATGGGTAATGAAGAAAAACTTTAATATAAGTTTAACATGACAGAAAATGTAAAACGTTTCGACAAGGTTTTGTCGAAGTCCCTGATGATGACAAACCCTTGTCGAAACGTTGTACATTTGCTGTCATGTTAAACTTATATTAAAGTTTTTCTTCATTACCCATTTAAGCCGTCTCCAGCCATTATTAGTCTCAAAGTGGGTTCCTCGTCATCGAATATGATTAATATATTATTTTGTATAAATGTTTGAACACTGAAAATATTACATTTACAGAGTTAAGAATTACACAAATATTTTTGCATGACAATAATTTGTTGATTTTTTATTCATTAATTATACTGTGGGCTATTTAAATTTTGTACAGTTTTCCGAATCGCGTAACCCAAGATACAATGAGAATAAATCCATGTGTTGCTGGTAACGAAAATGGATGGGCTGACGCTTTTTCGTAAGCTTGGAGTTGGTGCAAAATTTGACTTAAAAAGGTTCAGAGACGATGCTCAAAAGTTTAAGGTCAGCAGTAGTTAACCTGTTATTTCAATATTTGTATAACTGCTTATATCGACATTAAATTATAATTAATTAGTAACACTAACAGTATGGTTAGCCTAGGCCCAACTGCACGGTAACATGGTGTAGCACTAACGTAGGCCAATTACTACTAGTAGTACTTTTTACAGTAGTGTAGTATTAACACATTTTCTGTCCAACGAATATTACCTCAGTGTTGATAATATAGTAACATGTTACTGTTAGTACTTATTTATTGCAGCAATATTGGTAATAAGTTCTTTGGTTACGATTAAAATTTAAGTAAGTTAGCAAGTATAGTTCGGGTCTTTTAGTATATCACTATAGTATATGAGCATTTGCTGATACAGTGATAATAATATGCTCCTATATCCACACACAAATGCACGAAAAACGATGCTGTACTTTGAATGAAATGGTAAATGCTATCTTCATCTTGGACGATGATTGTCAAATTGTTAAATTTATTACTTACTCTTATATTGAGTGTAAATGAAATGTAATATTCAAATAAATATTCAACATGTGGGATTGTGGAGAAAGGAAATACATTTTTTCTTTTTCTTCCTAATCCAATAAAGTACAGTACTTGCTGACAAACGTTTTAGTTTATACTTCACTTTATAAAATCAATGTTTAAAAGTTTTTAGTATTTTTTTTTCAAAAATGCACATATGACAAATTTTTCTGACAAAAGTAATGATGCAGTTAGGATAGTGATGTCTGATGAATCACGTTAGACATTAAGTTGAATTTTGTAATACTGTATTCATAAAATCTTTAAAGTGGTTTCATAAGGTGAAGTATTCAAAAGCTTATGAACAAATTTTATGTTATGCTACATTGGAAAGAAGGAATTAGTACTGAACACTAGTTTGAAGTCTCACAGTTTTCATACTATAGCCTTCACATTCATTGTTCACATAGATGATTGATGCATGTCTCAGAGACATGAAATGGTTTTTATGCCAGATGCAGCATTAGTACTGTGCTACAAAAGTAAAATTACATTGCATAATCACAATGTTTTTTACAAAAGACAAACAAACATAATTTAATATTCTGCTGTAGTGAGTAAAACAAATCTATGTGACATGCTATATATTGCCTTAAAAATCTGTACAATATTTCTTATTTTTTTAACTTATTCATTTAATCGTTCCTAGTGTGTTAATGAGACAATAATGACTTGGAAAGGTATGAGAAACTGAGCAAGATAAAAAAAAAAAATCCCAGACATTGTGTTTATTACTTTAGTAATTCTTTTAAGTTGATCTGTTTGCATATGTAGTTTTTGTTGTTGAAAATATGAAAACAACAGAGATGATTGATAAAGAAATAGATAGAATTCATCAGGTGTGGACACTTGCTGTAGCATCAAACATACAACTTATTAATTGTTAAAGAATTTTCCTAAAATTATGACAGTATTAAAATAATTGAAGATGTTAAGAAATCTGCACTGAACAAAACTGAAACATGCGACTATCAGTAATGTTTTACCAATTGAGTTCTAAACCCAGCAAATAACTTCAGATTGTGACATTCAGAGTATCCTCTCACTTGGAACGAAGCCCATTCTTGAGCTTAGAGCACAACACAATCCAACACATCAGGTCAGTGAACAAACCAGAAAACCTTGTACTCCTAGTCCTCTTACTGTACTCATACCAAACGTACACAACAGTAAAGTAATTTTCTTTGTAATTTATGGTGTCTGTATCGTATGGTAATCTCTTCTAACAGGATGTATCAAGTAACAAGAGGTCAGGTTCAGGAAGTGTTTATTGAAACCACCTGTACTATAAACTGTTACATACATTCGTTAGTAGTAGCAATTAGTTTTGTCTCTATTCTGAAACAACATACACGGACATAGGTTGAAATAAACTTGTTCGAAAGTTCAAAGAAATGATATTCAAGTACCGAAAAGCTTTCTTACTATCATATCTACAGTAGCGTTCAAATGCGCCTGTGCTCGATTGAACGAGAGTGACCCCCAACAGGTGTGAGATAGTTTACGGAAAACGTACAAAGTTCACACTGCTGACCCCACGGTTTATTCAGCACAATAAACAAAAGTACGACTGTAATGAAACCTAAACATAAACTTGAAATAAAAATATATTTATGAAACAAAATTAAAATGTTTTTATGTACATATATAAACATGAAATCCTAGTTAAAAATAAAAATACTCATTTATTGTTTAGGTTTATTTACAAATATTATTGTCGGGTCTGTATATTACTTGAAACTATAAGGAGAGTACGTGATTATTACAAAAATTAAAAATAGATAAAATTTGCATTTTATGGACAATACAAATTTTCTGGGATTTCAAAATAATGTTCTAAAACATAAAAAGTAATAAGTTCAAATCTGGAACAAATATAGATATCGTAATCATTTCTTATAAATACAATTTCCTAATATAATTTTCCAAGATATTAAAGATCATAATGCAAAAAAAACTAAATTTATCAAAAGTAACAGGCTTTATGTTTCTTAAACTACATACATTTATGAAAGTTTTTATGAAGTTTCGAACAATTTCATCCACTAGTTTTATTGTTGGAATGAAATATAGCAAGACTTGCATTGCCTACTAAGAAAGTTAGTAGCTGGTAGTCATCAGTTTAAAGACATAAGCAATCAGTTTTTTAATTATCTTGCTTTTTTTCTAATCTAATCTGTAAAAAAAATTTAAATTCAGTCGAGACAAAAGAAAAAAGAAACGCTTGTTCAAAATTTAATACCAAATGTGTGATTTTACTGCAGTTACATTTATTTTTAAGGACTTTCTTGTGGCTAAACTTTAAAAGTAATATTTGTGTATGAGGTGGGACTCGAATTGAAGGGAGATTAGTATAAACTTGGAATTTATAAGTAATAGACATGGAGAATGATTTTAGTGTTTTTTTATATTCATATTTTGTTAAAATGAGCCTCTATCATCTTGTTTTTATAAGAGGTGCCCCAATTTATCAATATGCTATTGGCTTAGTATCATTACAAGGAAAAATTACATTACCAGCTATTGGCCATTTTTGTTATTGCAGCCAGTAATGTACACTAATATTTTTGCTTGTTGTCACATAGAATGTTGTGATGCATAACCACTTGAGACAAGGATGTATTTGCTGTAATGTGCATCTTGCAATCACTATCTGCTGTAAATATGTTTCAAAAGAGCAAGCATGGTATGGAAATTTTTTAAAACATCTGAAAACATCAACAGGACAAGTTATTGCCATCTATGTGCTGCAAACATTTGGTGTGGAGGCAACAACAGTAAATATTTCAACACAATGAATTTATTACATCACCTCAAGGTATGGCACTGAATATATGGAGCCTCATTATACATTGTCCAGCAGAAGGTTTATGTCTGACTCTGATCTGCCAGAACTGTACTGTGCCATTTTAAAATGCATACAAGTGCTGCTTGAAGGTGATCATGTATCAGCACTAAGCTTTCCAACTGATATTTGGAGTTTTGATGTGTCACCAATGTCAATACCAAGAGGAATATATAGACATGAATTACAGTTTAAAGAAGGCAGTACTAGAAACCCACGAGTTTGATGGTTCCCATAGGGCAGAGACTATTTCAGTACCTTTGATAAAATGTTTGCAACATGAAAAATTTTGAGTACCAAAATGTATGTGCTTATTTGGGATAATGCAATAAACATTTTAAAGGCAACTCTAAACTCCGGTTTGCTAAGCTTGCCTTGTGTAGTACATTCACTCTACCTTGTTGTAAATGAAGATGTGTTATTACTATGTATTGTGTCTGATGTACTGGCTATTGGACAAAAAAAAATTCAGCACATCATAGTTGTACACTAGCTTATTTTCATATGCAAGGGGTACACGCTAAGCTCAGATGGCCTTCAAAGAGGTTACAGCAGGACATATAGACAGGGTGGAACAGATGTACTATATGTCACAAAGCCTCATGAAGCAGAAGTGTGCTCTTGAAGCCTGTGCTGTTGATTATGAAATCTTTGCAACCTTCACAGTGCATCATTGGGGGTTGGTTGGAAGAGTACTAATAGTCCTAGCATTTTTTGAAGAACTAATGTGTGAAATAAATTTCTCCTTGGCCTCTGCTTCATATGTTAACTCATCCACAGTGACTTTGAAAAGACTTTTGAGCAAAGTTACAGATTCAGACCACAGAGTCAAAACTACTGAAGTTACTTTGCTGGAGGCCATAGAAATGTGGTTCAATGAGATTGGGTTAAAACCCCTATAATGCATTGCAACCCTGCTGAATCCAAGATATTAGGACAAGTACTTTACCAAAATGTTTTGGCACACCTCAGACAAATGAAAGCAAAATGCAATGTCCCAGCAACTGGAGAAGCTGTCACTTATAAATCAAAGCAAGCAGATGATGGCATTTATACAAAATCTAGCAGTACAGTATGTTTGATGTATGACAAAATGTTGGAGGAAAGTGCCGTTAGGGTAGTAACTGATGCTAGGAGCAGCAGTGTTGTGGTTTAGTTACCTGAGTGAGCTCACTCTTCCAGAAAGCACACAAAACTCTAATGCTGGAAGAGCAACAAAGACCATTTTCACACTTTAGATGAAGCTATATGGAAGTTTCTTTTTGCTAAGCTGCAACAGTGTTTACAGTGAGTGGTTGTTCAGTGTGGCTTCCCATGTTTTGGATGAGAAGAGGAACAGGCTGATATGCTATAAGGTAGAAATGCTGATTTTAGTGAAGAAAAGCCTTCTTCTAACAATCATACTACACTAAATACAAGGAAGCCATGAATATAATCCTGATGGGTTTTTATTACTTGAATAAGTAAATTATTTAAACTTAGTTGTTGTTACTACTACTAAATGTACCATATCAGTTTCTTTTCTTATGTAATTTTTCTGCCTTGACTTTCATTGCTTGTGATTGTATTTGTATTGTGTTTTGAAGCCAAAAGCTGTTTTTGTTCTGTGAAGTGGCAAAGTTGTAGGCTGAATTGTGTAAAATATATTGAATAGTTTTATGCTGACTTTTTGTGATGAAATTAACACTTATTTTTACAACTGTTAAATTTCTGCTGTAAACTAACAGAAGTTATAGTTACAGTTCAAAAGTTAATATATGAGTTTGTGTGTGTGTTTATTTTGATGAGTTTCTAGAAGCACTAATGCAAAGCATTCTTTTTTTTTTAACGTTTTTTATGACTGTTACTTTTCTTCTTTATTTTCTGAACTAAATGCACCAATTAAATAGTATACATGAATTTTTGTTATGAGTGCAACCAGAAAAAATCACCTGTAGGTTAAATGTTAATTTGTTTCTGTAATTTAAATACCTTAACTGCACTAATACTAAATATTAGTATTGGTATCAGCCAGTATTGCTGGTTAATCATCAGTTGTTGGTATTGGCCAAGAAGATTTTAATTGGCACACCCATAATTTTTATTACTCATGCATGCAGGAGTGTTATTGATTTTAGTATTCCAGAGGTTTCTATTGTATTTTCAGATTATTCGAAATGACAATAATCCTAGTCAAGAAGAAGTTAAAAAGGTTTTGGACTTCTTTGGTGGGAGTAAACAAAAAAGTGAGAGTAAAGAGACAAATAGCATAGACTTGGAAAATAAAAGTGATGATGAAGAAGAGGAGCTTACTTTCAAGAGACAGAAGATTGAAATAGATGGTAAAATCCTTTCAGTAGTTGTGTGTATTAAATTATTAAATTTATTATATTGGTTCAAAAGATGTCTTAAGCTGTCTTTGAAACTTGTGTATTATTATTAAATGTGTGAATATATGTAGTGGTTGATAAGTTGAATGTGATGAACCAGTTATCGCCAGCCTATATGAAGATTTTCTACTGACTTTTATGCACATTAAGTAGTAGTTTAACTAAGTTTCACATAATCAAGGTAGTTCTGTAATGACAGTAGTATAAAGGTTCATTAAACCCAGTTTTTGGTGTTTTTCTTGTATGATTTACTATTTAGTTGTCTTAAAGATATGTCTATAAAGAATAATATATAAGAAAGAATGTTCATGCAACACAACTAATCTAATTACATTATCTTATTTTTGTATATAGTTTAAGTTCTCTTCATTGTTTGTGTTGTCAATGTGCTTACTTGGAATAATACTGTTTCTGTACCAGTGTGATTTGTTGTTCTTCATTCCTTTATGTTTGTTAGTTGTCGAGTGTAAAAGACCACATTCAGTTGCACATCATATTATAGTTTTAAATACTCCTGAAAAAGAGTTGAGCAGCATTCATTATTATTGTTCATGAAGCAAACAGAAAAGATGGCAGTAAAATCAAATTGAAAGATGTTTGAAGGTTTACAGAAATTATTGGTTATGAAACCATAGAACGAGGAGGGAGAACATACTGAACTTCTGGTATAAAGACTGTGCCAGGAATAAGGACATTGTGCTAAGAGATTCAACAATAAAAGGAAGCATCAAGATATCTGCAAGAGTTTTCATTAATGTTTTGATGAAATCAATAACTCTGCCACTATAGATACTTGTAGAATTAAAAAGTAAATATTTCCTTGCTATTTTCTGCTCCTAATTTCATCCATACAATTTGCACACACAAATTCATTTGGATATGTGAATCACCACACACACACACATGTGGTTTTTATCATGAAAGACTTGATTCTTGCAGTGAAGTTAGCTATGCTATTTGTCATTCTTTGTATTGAAAAATAATGATACTTATTAAACTTTTACAGAAGATCCATTAGAAGTGAAGTTACTTGGTGAAATTACTTCTAAGTCAAAAGAAAAAGCTCGGACTGAGAAAAAGAGAGAAAAATTTAAAACTCCACAAAAATTAGCTCAACTTAAACAAGAACAGGTACTTTTTTAGGTAATATAAAAACATTATTGTGTTTTGAATAAAGTACATTGTTTTAATTTTAAGAAATATGTTAAACAAATCAGTATTTTTTTTACAAAATAAGAAATAAAAAGAAGAAATAAAGTTACTGTAGTATTTTCTGTTTACTTAGTTTATTCATTGTGCATAAGGCTTGGCATGGCCAGGTGGTTAGGGCGCTCGACTTGCAATCAGAGTGTCATGGGTTTGATTCCC